TTCTTCTTCTTCTTGTTCGTCACCCTCATCTTGATCCTTGCTTCAAGACCCGCTTTTGCCATGGATGAACATTATGTGAACTGCGGTAAGACGATCTCATGTGGAAACATTGACAACATTGGTTATCCATTTTGGGGTTCAGACAGGCCGGAATACTGTGGCTTCCCGGGGTTTGAGCTGAACTGCAGTGGCACTGATCCAGAGATCACAATCTCCTCAGCAACATATCAAGTTCTCCAAATCAACGAGGAGTCCGGAGTTCTCACCGTGGCCAGAGCTGATTATGAAGACACCCTTTGCCCCAACTTACTCATTAACACCACCCTGAATCTTGATCTCTTTGAATATAGCTCCGATACTCTGAACATAGCCCTGTATTGCGGTTGCCCCACGGTATCAGATCAGATCAAGGGACTCTCCAAGCAATTTGATTGCGATATGAACGGAAACCTCTCCTGTTACTACCTGGCGAGAAATTTCAGTGGGTTTGAAGGGGATCCAATTGTGACTGAAATCACTTCCTCCTTGGGTAGATGCAGTAACAGGGTCTTTCTGGCTGCAAACCAATCTGAAATTTGGTCTCTAGAGACTACTTTGAGTCCGAGGTTGGATGCTCTGGTGAATGCTCTGTCAAAGGGATTTGGGTTGGTGTGGAATGCAAATAATAGCTTGTGTGATCAGTGCACAAAGTCTGGCGGAAAGTGTGGGTATAATACGATTTCCAATAAGTTTTCTTGTTACTGCACAGATAAGCCTTATGATACCGCCTGTCCAGGTTAGTCTTGTTTCTTATTTCTCCAGCTAAATCTCCTCTACTTAGGATGTTAAGGTGATAGGTTGCTTGCTTTTCATGTCATATATATCCCGTTAGATACAAATTCATTGTGGTAAAGCGAAGAGTTGTCACATATACCCTATCAACTAGTTTTATTGTCAAAATCGTAAGGTCGTAATTTGAATGGTAAGATGTTCGGTAAAACTACCATTTGGTAATTGGTATTGCTATTTTGCTTGTTTACCTAGGTAAATTCTTAGTCAATGCATCCGTTTATATTCCAATAATGGAGCATCTCTTTAGAAATTTTTAATAAAAGAAAGTTGGCCCACCCTGAGAAAAGGTCCAAAAGGAGGCAGTTAGAGTTTTTTATGGAAGATTATGAGGTACAAACTTGGTACGGTCAAAATAATTGTGTTTTTAGTAATTACTGCACTTTTTTAATTTAAGAATTAAAATTATTAAAATAT